CCAGCCACTATGTGCTGCATTGTCTCAGAGCCTCTTTGCACAGTCTGCACCTTGGGTCTTCCCTCGTATGGTGGACCCCCCACTTCAGTTGATCTGGTGCTGAGTGCCTGTTCCTGTGCTACTAGGATTAGTGCCCCAGTGCTGTCTTTCAGTCCTGAATTTTCCAACCACTGGTAGGATTTAGTAATGTGAGCCACATCCACTATGTGCTCATGGTACATCCCATGGAGAGGTTAGTCTTGCCATGATAACTCCTCCCTATCTGTATCCTGTACCTGTTAAAGAGAACATGTACATTGTACATACCTATATATATATACACACAAGTGTAATGGCACTCACTCTTTCAAATGATGTCACTAGTATGCCCTGGTGCAATTTCACACTGTACCAGTTTTTTTTTTTTTTCATTAATCATGTTGATACCCCCAAGAATGCTCCCTGACACTCCAGTATATACTATATGCACACAAACCATTTATACAGTTTGAGTAAGGTGCATATATTTTGAAGCGGCATTCGTTGTCATGCCAGCATTATATTCTACAAGAGGCTTTAACAAGAATGTTTGTTGAAATATTGGTGTTTCATGAATGACACTAGTATACTGCTGCATTGTACATTTTTATATTGTGTGCACACAAATCACCTTAATAATTGCCTTCTACTCTATGCTCAACTAAAATTCAGCCATTATTATAATTACATCACTAGATTAATGGGAGAGCTGTGTAAAATGTACATTTTTTTTCACATTTCAGTAAATACCTATTTTTGTAAATAAATGATTTTATGGAAGTTACTGATATGAGGAAAAATCTAAATTAGAATTCATGATGCATATTATTATATTTTGAACTAAATGAATAGGGAGTATCATGTAATGTTAGGCACCGTGTATAAAAGGTTGACTTTTTTTATTCTCAATTCTCAATTTATAAACATGCACTTAATTTACTTTTACACTGGAAAACTGCAACAAAATATTACCCCTTCCCTTTGCTCCAGAGCTAGCATTTACCCCGATGAGAGAATGTGTGTAAACTATAAATAACTACTTCCCACATTCTTCATGGCTTCATTTTTGTAGGAATGAAGAAGTACAAGGGAGGTTTCTGGATACACTGAACAGCAGGGCCGGTGCAAGGATTTGTGCCGCCCTAGGCAACAAAAAAACAAATTTGCCCTTCCCCTCTTCCACATGTGACATCACAATGCCCCACCCATATGATCTGCCATAAGTACTAACGCCAGTGCTGCACACAGTGTGTGTTTACATTAAAAAGCCATCAGAGACAGGCTATGGACACCAGAACCACTTCATTAAGCTGCATTGGTTCTGGGGACTATAGTGTCCCTTTAATGTAAATTAAATTTGAGATTATTGTCACTAATAATATACTAGATTGCCTAATTACAACCAGATCAGGATGGTGATGGTCTCTGGCTGCAGTTTGGCTCCACTGGTCTGGTGTAGAACAGGCTCTTTGGAGGCGGTTTGTAACTGTGGTCACAAAAGTCAATGTTCTGGGAGAACGGGAAGCAGCTCAACTTTTTGGGGCCCCTTACACAGCTCAAGGTCTGGGCCCCAGGGCCTGACGGTGAGTATGCCCATAGGGCCCACCCATAAGTCCACCTACATGTTCCACCCATGAGTTCGCTCACAGGGAGTGGAGTGTGTATGGGATGTGTTATGTGTTATTGTAGAGGATCTAATATGTGTGCTTATGGAATGTAGTGTATAGGGATACTAGTTTGTGTAGGTGATGCAGTGTGTTTGTGTGTAGTGGAAGCAGTGTGTTTTTGTGTAAGGGATAGAAAGCAGTGTGTGTTTGTGTATAAGGGATGTATTTTGTGTTTCTGGTTGTGTGTAAGGGATGCATTGTGTGAATCTGTGTTTGTATGCATAAGGGATGCAAGGTGTGTTTCTGTATATGCAAGTGATGCAGTATGAGTGTCTGTAAGGGGTGCATTAAGTGTAAGAGATGGATTGTGTTTCTGTGTGTATGTAAGAGAAGCAGTGTGTGTTGCATGTGTGTGTAAGGGATGCATTGTGTGTTTCTGTGTATGAATAGGAATGCATTGTGTGTGTGAGCATAGTGTGAAAGAGCTCCCTGTCCCACCCCCTGTCCTATAGAGCTCTCCCTTCTTCCCTTAGAGCTCTCCCCTGCCCCTTAGTGGTCTCTCCTCTCCCCCCTCTCCTCCCCTAGTGGACTCTTCTCACCCCCTCGCCCCCCCCTGTGTTCTCCTCACCTCCCCCTCTCCATGTGTTCTCCTTACTCTCCCCCCGTGTTCTCCTTACTTCCCCCTCTCCATGTATTCTCCTTACTCCCCCCTGTGTTCTCCTTACTACCTGCCACTCCCTGTGTTCTCTTTACTCACCTCCCTCCCTGTGTTCTCCTTACTCCCCCCTCCCTGTGTTCTCTTTACTCACCTCCCTGTGTTCTCTTTACCCCATCTCCCTGTATTCTCCTTACTCACCTCCCCTGTGTTCTCCTTACTCACCCCCCTCTCCCTGTGTTCTCCTTACTTATCCCCCTCCCTGTGTTCTCCTTACTCCCCCATCCCTGTGTTCTCCTCACCTCCCCTCTCCATGTGTTTCCCTTCCTTCCCTCTCCATGTGTTCTCCACCCCTCCCTGTGTTCTCCTTACTCCCTCCCTCCCTGTGTTCTCCTTACTCCCCCGTGTTCTCCCCTTACTTCCCTCCATGTGTTCTCCTTACTTCCCCTCTCCATGTATTCTCCTTACTCCCCTTCCATGTGTTTCTCCTTACTCCCTCCTCCCTGTGTTCTCCTTACTCCCCCTTCCTGTGTTACTCCCTCCCTGTGTTCTTTACTCACCTCCTGTGTTCTCTTTGTACCCTCTCCCTGTATTCTCCTTACTCACCCCCAGTGTTCTCCTTACTCACCCCCCTCCGTGTTCTCCTTACTCACCCCACTCTCCCTGTGGTCTCCTTACTCACCGCCTCCTCCCTGTGGTCTCTTTACTCACCCCCCTCCTCCCTGTGTTCTCCTTACTCACCCCATTCTCCCTGTGGTCTCCTTACTCACCGCCTCCTCCATATGGTCTCTTTACTCCCCCCCCTCCATGTGGTCTCTTTACAACCTCCCTCCCTGTGGTCTCTTTACTCCCCATCCCTCCCTGTGGTCTCTTCACTCCCCCCCCCGTGGTCTCTTTACTCCCCCCCGTGGTATCTTTACTCCCCCCTCCTCCATGTGGTCTCTTTACTCCCCCCCCTTCCCCCTGCCCTTCCCTGTAGCATGGCCGAGCCCCTCTTCGGTCCGCGGCACAGGAGTTTCTGTTGCCTGCACCTGGCTGGACTGACAGGAAGTGCACACTGAGTGTGCACTTCCTGTCAGTTCGGCAGGGACAGCGGACCGGAGAGGAGGGAAGGGAAGGGGAAGTGAGGAGGCAGCCGCCTGACAGCTCTCTATAGAGCGCAGGTGCAGCATTTAAAGGGTCGGCGATGGGAGCGCAGGGTGCCCCCTCCTATATGGCGCCCTATGCGGCTGCCTAGTTCACCTTATAGGAAGGCCCTGCTGAACAGACTATAGAAATTCCTTGCAGGCTGCAAAAACAAACTGCAGCTTCTTATATAGTACAGTTCATTGGTCAACTCTAGATCCACAGTACGCAGGTTCCCTACAGATACAATATTTCTGCTTCTATACTATTATTTAAGATTCTGTTTGAATTATTGGTTTTACAGAACTTATATGTTGACAGGATTTCAGTATAAACGAAACAAACAATCTAAAAATTTACATTTTAGTTACAATTTTAATGTCACACCCATTCTCTTACTCTCTCTGTATTATTCTCTCTCTCTCCGTTCTCTATATTTCCCACTTCTTTTCCCTATCTCGCTGATGTTTCCTCCACACCAATATTTGAACTTGTTATTTTGATGTATTGTAATGCTGATGCGATTACCTTGAAAAAGTTTATTTATTTTTTGCCAGCTCAGCTATAAAAATGCCACAGTTTATTTATGTACGGTTATATTATCAATCTCTGGATAAATGTACAGTATATTACTATTCCTCAATGAAGTTATTTTTTATTAAAGAATTGTCACAGTAAAGAGTAGGGAACGCTGATATGCTACATAATGATTAGAGTCTATCCAATATTCTAGATACAGTTCAGGCTTCCTATCTAACAAACCTAAACTTTACAGGTGAGTAACTCCTTATATAAAAAATAATGTAATAATAGATGTATCATAATTACCAAAATACATTTTAAATTAAATGAAAACTATTCTCTAAGCAATATTCAGTTAACTAAAACTCAAGTTTACTTTTGCGCACATTGTTTAGCTGTGTTCTATTTTACTGACAATTTGAAAGAAACATCTTTGGATTGTGTGTTTTCTTTTCTGGAGGAAGTGGGGAGGTTACAACATGGGCCATTTTGACTGTTGCTTTTCAAACACCGACGTGTGTCTCCTTAATGATTTTAATCACCTGTTGGAACATTTAACAGCATATAAAACTCAATACGTTTCAGATTATCATAGTGAAAGAAACAATACCTAGGGGTTTATTTACAGTACCGAAATAATAAAAACTCATTATAAGCCACAGGCATAAAAATAATGAGAGCTGCTCAGACAATTAGAGTTCAGTCGGAAGGGTTAGTACTATGCAGCCTTAATGTCTCACATTTAATATTCACTGTTGAATCAAGGACAGATATTTTTGGGTATCTTCATATATGTTGATATACAGTATCTCACAAAACTGAGTACACCCCTCACATTTTTGTAAACATTTTATTATATCTTTTCATGTGACAAAACTGAAGAATTTACACTCTGCTACAATGTGAAGTAGTAAGTATATAGTGCGTATAACAGTGTAAATTTGCTGTACCCTCAAAGTAACTCAACACACAGCCATTAATACCAAAAATAAAGTGTGCCGTGCCTTTAAGGCTACAATAAACAGATAATGATTACATTATTATCATATGATAGTGAAAATTATTTAAGAAAAATGAGTGCACGTGAGCCCGATCACCGTAGGATCTGTACGCACAACCACACTTACACAATGGCTTATACGGCCGCACCCCTTTGCATCCTAACACAGAACTGTCGAGGCCTGAACACACTTGAAAAACGCTCTCATCTCCTACGGGAACTTAAAAATAAAGAGGTCATGATAGCACTGCTACAGGAAACACACCTGAAACTGACAGATACACACAGATTAAAAGATAGACACTACCCAGCCAACTGCCATAGCACCCACCCTACTTCGCGAAAGGCAGGGGTAGCAATACTTAGCCGCTAACACCCAATTCACCCAGACCGACCAACTCACAGACCCGAATGGTAGATTTCTCTTTATCAAGGGCACGGTATCGCGGAAAACCTACACATCCACCACAATCTATGCCCCGAACGCAAAACAGGCGACGTTTTTACGCAAGAACATTCGCCAACTGGCAACATTTTTACTGAAGGAACGCTTATCATAGGAGGAGACTTCAACGCACTGCTTGATCCACTAATCGACCCATTGACTGGGCACAGCAGTATATCACAAATCGCGATCAGGGCGATAAGGAAGACCCTGCGAGACCTGAGATTAGTAGACACATGGAGAACCTTACACCTGACAGACCGGGATTATACGCACTACTCAGCTATACACAGGAGATACTCACGTATTGACTACATCCTCATACAACAAGAAGGCCTGCAACGATTGCAGTCGGCGGAGATCCTACCGACACCGTGCTCGGACCACAGCACAGTGTACATATGCCTGGATTCCCCTCTGTTCAGACCCACAAGGACGGCGTGGAGATTGAACGAGTCTCTCCTATCAGATCCAGAAGTGAAGACACAATTGATAGAACATTTGAACAACTACTTTACTGAGAACGACACGGAAGACGTATCTAAAGTGACGCTTTGGGAAGCCCACAAGAGTGTGCTATGGGGACACTTCATAAGGATTGCATCTCACAAAAAGAAGGAAGCACAGCAACACATGATGGAACTCACCGACCAGATAACAAAACTAGAAACACAGCATAAGTGGACACAACTAGAGGAGCAATATCGCTCTCTATTAGAAGCCCGCCGGCAGCTAGCAGAACTGGTAGCCCGCAAACACCACAGAGCGACACAGAGGTCCAAAGCCTTTTTTTTCTACATCCATGCCAATAAAAGCAGGAGGCTACTGGCCCGTATGATCCAAAAACCAACAGACCAGAGCACAAGTGCATGCACTGCGAACAACCAAGGGCACCCTCACACAATTCCCGGGGGGGAATGGCCAACACATTTTGCACGTATTACCAACGATTGTATAATACCTCACCAACGACGTCCGACACTCAACACGCCGAACTGATAGAGGCTACAACACAATACTTACAAAGATTTCCCGACCGGACGCTCTAACACCGGAGGAGGCAGACCTACTGGAAGCCCCAATAACTACGGAAGAAATACAAGCAGCGATTAAGGCAGTGAAAAGGGGGAAAGCGCCAGGGCCAGATGGACTCTCGGCGGGATATTATAAGTTATTTGGAGAAATTCTGAACCCACACCTAACGGCTGCCCTCAACCAACTCCAGAAGGGGGACAAATTCCACCAGAAAACTCTGGCAGCTACAATCACTGTGATACCCAAACCTGGTAAAAACCCTGAAAGCTGCAGCAATTATCGGCCCATATCGCTTGTGACGGATCACCTGGCACCCCGACTGGGTACCTCTGTTGAAGGATACTCCTAGCGCTTCCTGAGGACTCCAAGCACTGCAGCAGACACCACAACCACCGAACCGGAGAAGCATACGAATGCTCTCAAGCATATGAATGCTGTAAGCAGCTGAATAGGAAAAGCATACAATCAGCTACACTCCTGGCAATCAGCATACAATCCAATTCCCCCAATAACGAGACGACACTTCGTTTTGAGGTCAAGCAGAACTGACTGTACTGGCACATACAGCCTCTTTTATGCCCAATCCACAAACTTAGTACTGCCCACAGGGTTTTACAGAACAACCAATAACACACGTACATTACAGAGAACACTCCCACACAAAATCCTCCCCTCTGCCTGTGATATGATTACTGAACACAATGGTTAATCTAATTATCACAGGCAGAGAAATACAGTATCATTTGTCCACCACAGTCTAAATTTAAGTCTTATTGAGGGACGTGGCTGCCCAAAAAGTCTGCAAATCTGGCCATATAATTGGCCCCAACCGAAGAACACATTTACATACATAATAAATACATCCCCTACTCCATTCATTCTATATGGGATTATTTGCTAAAATGTTAAAAAATACATATACAAAAAGGTATAAAATAACCTTATAAATTGGCTCTAGTTAGCAAAAGGATAAAATACACACACTGTAAATTTGCCTCACATATTAAAATCCATTCTAATACTCATACTAATCAATTTCCTTATAAAACTTATATGAACAAATATTAAGTGTTACTTATTAGTTATATAATGCTGTACCTACTTAAAGGGGAAGAAAAGGAAGGGGGTTAATACATATTATATATAACCTTAGTACATATATATATATGCTGAGTGCTGATCACTATTTGAATTTATTTGAATTTTCCTGGATTACAAGTACCCGGTCACCAAATCATCCAAGCGTGAGTGCAAGGACTTTTTCTATTTTTGTTATATATATATATATATACTTAATATACTACCCTTGTAAATGTCTTGAAAATATTTGTTAAAAACATACAGAATAAACCTAACCATTATCTTGTTCCACACTATAAAAAATGTAAAAGATCGAATTCTATATTTAAACCATGTGGTTCTAAAGTTTTTAGTTTATGGACCCATTTCATTTCTTCTCTTTCTATTTTTAAAAAATGGTCTCCTCCTCTATGTGGTTTATTTACTACTTGAATTCCTAAAAAAAATAAACCCCTGGGGTCCATATTATGTTTTGCTTTAAAATGGGCTGAGACACTATGTTGAGCAACACCTTTTAAAATATTATTTGCATGCTCACCAATTCTTTTGCGGAGTGGGCTTATTGTGCAGCCCTACACATTGTTGCCCACATGGACAAATTAAGAGATCTATTTCATTCCTAGTGAAACAAGTAATAAAATCATTAATATTAATATAATATTAATACGTTTAATATTAAACTCATTGCCATTGTGTTTGCTCTTAAATTTATTTATACCCTTTAGGCTTTTATTTTTACTATATTTACATCCTGTGCATTTGCCACAGGAAAATAAACCCTTTCTATCATTCATAAAGTGTTTTTGTGCAATTTTTCCAGGTCGATTGTGAGTTAAAATGAGATTAAATTTAGGGGCACCTCTGAAGGTTATAAAGGGTTTCTGTGGTATAATTTTAGCCAACTATATATCTTCTTTTAGTAGATGCCAATGCCTATTAATTATCCTTTTGAGGTCCCTATGTGCAATATTAAAATCAATTACTAACGATACATTATTAAGTTCTTCTTTCTCAACTCCCTGAGTCTCCTTCCTTTTAATCAATTCATCTTGTTCTAAATTAACCATATCTTCATATGCATCATTAACTAATTTTTCAGGATATTTTTTATTCAAAAAATGCCCCTTAAGAAGTTGTGTCTGTTGTTTAAAAATTTCTGTATCACTGCAGTTCCTTCTTATTCGTTTCTGTTGACCTTTAGGGATGTTGTTCAACCAGGAGGTATAATGTCCACTGTTATATAATACATAATTATTTGCATCTACTTTTTTAAAAAAAAATTCTTAGTTTTAATTTCCATATTTTAAATATATATTTGCGAGATCTAAAAACTCAATTTTGGTTGTACCATATGTGCTGGTTAATTATTATTATTATTATTATTATTTAAAAATGTATCTAAGTCATCCTCACTGCCTTTCCATATGAAAATCAGGACATCTATGTACCTACAATGTAGGGCCAAGTTTGCCCCCCATTCGGCACCCCCATACACAAACTACTTTTCCCATCCTGCCATGTACAGGTTGGTGTAACTGGGGGAAAACATGGCCCCCATGACTGTACCTTGACGTTGTAGGTAATACTTGTTATTAAAAAGAAAGTAATTATTATCTAAAATCCAAGCTATGCTCTCTATTATAAAATCAATACATTCATGAAACATTTTTTGAGAACTCTCTAAAAGGCCACATATCACCTGACATCCCAAATCATGTGATATAGAGGTGATACGTTGCTAGTCACCAATATAAAATCATTTTCCTACTTGGTGGTTCTTAACGTCCTTATGATCTCTGTAGTGTCTTTTATGTATGAAGGCATAATTTTTACAAAGTCTTGTAGAAAAATGTCTACAAACTTGGATAGGTAAGCAGAAATGGAATCTATACCCGAAACAATGGGCCTTCCTGGCAGATTGTGGATATCTTTGTGAACCTTAGGTAAAGTATAAAATGTAGGTATGCGAGGGAACTCTTTCTCTAAGAATTTGTACTCATTATCATTTAATATGTTAGACTCTTTACCTCTTTCTAAAAGTGCATGTAGTGATTGTTGTATATCAAGGGTGGGATCCTTTGTTAATTTTATATATACTTTTTAATCATTGAGTTGTTTTAATATGTGAGGCAAATTTACAGTGTGTGTATTTTATCCTTTTGCCAACTAGAGCCAATTTATAAGGTTATTTTATACCTTTTTGATATGTATTTTTTAACATTTTAGCAAATAATCCCTGTGACGAGACCAATCTCGCCACATTGCATTGGAGAAGCCTGGTTGCTCGCCTGTTGCCTTTGGATTATGGCCCCATGTTAAAAGGCTTGATTTTCCCCTGCAAAGACATGAAAGCCGGGTCATTTGGTGCTTGCCCTGTTTGAGCGGTGATACCCCAGATAGCTATGCCATGGAGCCCTTTCGTATAATGAAAGACTTTGGGAAAGACTTTGGCTCCATGGTAATTGAACTGTATGTGTGTGCTCTGAGCGCCATTCAGTAATAATGTGCGCTCAGATCTGAGCTATCTGGGGATATGTTGAATGTACCTGTTTTGTGCAATGGCTGCACAGTTATATGTTTTTATGTGTTTTATTGTCTTTTGCTGCCATGTGTTCAATGGAGTTTTGCCTCTGTCCTTGGAGATAATTGGATTACCTCCCAATTATCTCCAGGATAGAAGACTCTGTGGAACTGGTTTTGGGCAGAAAAGCCATGCTTCCTTTGGTCATCCAATTTGGATGATTTTGACATATGTTTGTATTTGGAGTATGCTGATTCTGAAATGTAAGTTATATGTGAATGTGATGCATACTTTTCAAGTTATGAATAATGTGGAAAATTTTTATTTCTCTGCTTGTTATAATTACATTACCCATTGTGTAAGGTAATTGTATCACAGGCAGAGGGGAGGATTTTGTGTGGGAGTGTCTGAGTGTATTGTATGTGTTTATTGGTTGTGTTCCAAAACCCTGTGGGTGGTACTAATGTGTATATAAGAACAATAAAACCACAGCTCTGTCTGTTCCTGCTTGACCCTCAAAACGGAGCCTTGTCTCGTTCTTGGGGGGATTTATTGTATGCTGTTCCAGTTTGACTGCTAGGAGTGTAAACCTATTCGTATGGTTTTCCTATTCGGCTGTTTACAGCATTCATATGGTTTCCAGCTCGGCGGATTGGTGTTCTGCAGTAGCTGTACCTGTGTCTCTGGAAGGGAAGACCTACTAAACGGCGGTTTAACCCTTCTTTGCTGAGGGCGCCGTTACAATCCCCTATAGAATGAATGGAGTAGGGGATGTATTTTTTATGTATATAAATGTGTTCTTTGATTGGGGCCAATTATATTGCCAGATTTCCAGACTTCTTGGGCAGACACACCCCTCAATAAAACTTAAATTAAGACTGTGGTGGACAAGTGGGCAGATCTGATGAAGCCGAGTGTATCGGCGAAATGCGTCATCACGCTCTGACTCATTCCGCTCAACGGCCGTAAGCCCCGCCTCCCGGAACTAGTGGTTCATGATTTCAGCACTCAGTGTTCTGCAAAGCCGGCGCAAGACCGAGGAAGCCAACACACCACATATTGGAGAGGAAGATGCATTTGAAGGGGACTTACCTGCCTGACAGCTGTTTTTATCCAGAGTGTCAATAAAGAATTTCTATCTTCACCACAGCTTCAAGTCTGCATATTTTGCAAAAGATGCCATCACAGTTTAGAGCAGACTAAATTGTTCTACCTTTGTGAGTGTTTTTGTTTATAGAATTTTACTTTTGTATTCAAACATATTGCCCTATGAGTTTGTGTTTCCCCTTTTCTATTTTAGATTTACATTGGAGCACTGATACAAGAGGGGGGTCTCCAAAGTGAGTAAAGTAATAAGGATTTT